AAAAAAAAAAAAAAAGAAAAAAAAGAAAAAAAAGGAAGTCATACAATATATGGACTTTTGTGTCTGGCTTTTTTCACTTAGCATAGTATTTTCAGTTCATTTATGTTACAACATGTCTCAATACTTCATTCCTTTTTATTACTAAATAATATTGTATTATGCCATGTTTCATTTATCTGTTTATCAATTGATAGATATTTGTGTTGTTTCTACTTTTTAGCTATTACAAATAATTTTGCTGTGAACATTTGTATATGTGTGTTCGTGTGTTCATATATTTTCATTTATTTTCAGTACATACCTAGTAGTGGAATTCCTGGGCCATGTAGTAACTATGTTTATCCTTTGGAAGAACTGTCAGACTGTTTTCTAAAATGAATACACCATTTTACATTCTCATTCTCACCAACCCTGTATGGAGGTTTCAAATTTTCCACAGCTTCACCAATACTTACTATCTGCCTTTTTATAATTATAACCATCCTAGTAGATATGAAGTGGTATTCCACTGTGGTTTTAAGTTGCATGTTCCTGGTGGCTGGTTTTGTGCTTATTGGTCATTTGTATATTTAGAGAAATGTCTGTTCAGATCCTTTGACCATTTAAAAATTGGATTCTTTATCTTGTTATCATTGAGTTGAAATAATTCTTTATATATTCTAATACAAGTCCCTTAACAGATACGTGATTTATAAATATTTTTTGTATTTTGTGATTTAATTTTTTGCTTTCTTGATGGTTACCTTTTCAGCAAGGCCCAGTTCAAATATTATCTGCTTCATAAAGACTTTTCTATGCCTCCCAGTAGGAAATTATCCTCTCCCTCAAGCTCTCGTACTGCAGTGCAATATTATGTATTTTTATATAGTGGATCCACCAAGAGGGAATAGTTACTTTACCTGGTGTAGGGGAATATCAGCAATGGCTTCAGAGAGGATGTGACATAAAAGCTGAGTCTTGTGATGGGAGTCTGCATTTAGCAGGTAGACAAGAGAAGGAAGGACATTTCAGATAAAAAGATCAATATGAACAATGGTACAGAAATCTTAAAACAGCTGATTTGATCAAGAAACTTCTTAGGAATGGCAGAAACAAAGTATAAGGCAGAAGGAGTGAAACATGAGGCAGGAACATAGAATGTCGTGTTTGAGGTTCAGTTGGTCTGACCTTAAGGACTGAAACCTTAATTTCAGTCCTTCAATCTATTTCATCAGGACTTTTTTAGATTAGTTATTGTTGCTATAGTTGTTGAAGTACAAAAATATTGTAAAATATGGTACTATTGTAAGCTATAACTTCATTGAGAACAAGGAATATATGCCTTTTTATGAAGCATTTTTTTCCAGCATGTTATTGTTTGCATGGGTTACGAATCATTCAGCTGCCACCTTTCATTGCCAAAAGTAACCTAAGTATTTCTGGTTTAATTCCTTTATTTGAAATACGGAAAGCTGGGGCCCAGAGTTTAGTAACTTACTTGAGATCACACTACCAACTTGGATTGTAAGTGGTAAGTCAGAATTATTTATCAGTTGCACACTCTGGGAATGTACTAAAACCATTGAATTGTATACTTTTAATGGTTGAATATTATGGTATGTAAATTATATCTCAAAGCCATTTTAAAAAGTAAAAGTGAAAGATGAAAGGAATTCATTTTTCATAAAGAACATCAGAAATATGATTCATTGCCACAAGTTCCATGACCACTGTAAAGTATTCCTGCTATAATAACATTACTATGTGTTTAGATAACAGAGTGATCCTGTTAGTGTAATTATAATAGTAAATACTAAGAAAAGAGCTAATCTATCTAGCAGATTAAAAACATGACTTGATGATTATTAAAAATTATTAAATATAATTAAGAACCCAGAATTGAAATCTTATGAAGAATAAAAAAAGCAGCAGATAGGTATGAGTTGTTATGTTCCCACTGCCTAAGGTGAAATTATTCAGTTAGTAGATATATACTGAACCACATGCTATGTTTTAGGCACTGTGCTAAACATTGGCGATTAGGACAGAAAAATGTCAAGTAGCTCATAGTTTAATGGGAGAAACACACAAATAATTAGGTAATTACAATTTCGAATGGCATGTGTTACAGGTAAGCATAGACTAACCCTATCCCAAACTGAGGGAATCAAGGAAAACTTCTGTGCTTCTGAGAAGTGATACATGAGTTAATTCTTACAGATTGAATTTGCTAAGTGAACCAGGAATAGAGAGACAAGAGGATGTCCCATGCAGAGAAAGTAGTATGTACCAAATCTCAGAGAGAAGAAAGCAGGCAGTATTTGGGAGTACTCTTAAGCCATTTAATGTCCCTGAACCTTAGGGGGTGGTGAAATGTGAAGTGAAGAGAGAAAAGTTGAGAGAAGTAGGCAGAGATCAGATTATGAAAGGTACTAAAAACTCTGTTATATTTTCACTTAATCCTGAAGGAATTAGGGAACCACTGAAGAGATTTCTCTAGAGAAGTAACATGCTCATATTTACTTTAAAGTTCAAAATGAATGTAGGGGTGCATTGTGATAAAAAGATCATGAGGAGGTAGCTACAATAATCTAGGTGAGAAATGATGAACGCTTAATCTAAGATCACTCCCGGGGAAATGGAGACATCCATGGATTGGCAAGACTTTACTCAGGTGCAATTGATATGAATTGATAACTGCTTAGAAGGGACATAGGGAGGAGGGGGATTGAGAAATGATTCTCAGTGTTTTGGCTTAGGCAAGTGGGTAGTTGTTGATACCATTCAAGATATAGGGAACATTTGAGGAAGACAGGACTCAGGAAGGGAAGATACAGAGGACAGTGTTGTGCATGTTAAGTTTGACATGTTTGTGGCTCCAGGTGTACAGGAAGTTAGTATATAGTTTGGAAATTAGGACAGAGATGTAGACTAGATACACATGTTGGAATTGTTGATGATGTCAGTGGGTGAAGCCACCCATGGAAAATGAGCAGAGAAGAGAAAGAAACCAAGAATAGAAGTCTGTGGAGTGCCAACATTTTAGTATGGGAGGGATAGAGGAAGTTTTTGTTAAAACAGTATTTTATCCAATCTGTCATCTATAAAAAGGTAATAACACAATTATGAGAGTGCCAACCCATCATAATCATTCAGACTCCTTATGTAAGCATATTTATTTTGTTCTCTACCTAAATAGGTTCTCTGGATGGCCCCATCATTCCTACAATAAGCTGGAAAATTAGTAAATAGAGTATAGATTATTAGTTTGGTTCCATATGTCTCTAGAGAGGAGACAGAAGGGAATATTTATAAAACTTTTTTTAAAAAATTAGAGACAGGGTTTCACTATGTTGCCCAGTCTGGTCTCAAACTCCTAGGCTCCAGCAATCCTTCCACCTTTGCCTCCAGAGTGCTGGGATTTTAAATCTTTTTAAGGACTAGTAGTCGTTTTGCACTTTTAATTGTAGTTTCAGACTATACTAAACTATTCTGGCATTCTCTCTTTTAGAATCGAATGAATCGGAACCTGAATGTGACCAGTGTAACGATGGTTACATAGGCCCGAACTGCAATACATGTGAAAATGGCTATTACAATTTTGACAGCATCTGTAGAAAGTGCCAATGTCATGGCCACGTGGACCCAGTTAAAACTCCAAAGATTTGCAAGCCCGAGAGTGGCGAGTGCATCAGCTGCCTCCATAACACCACTGGGTTTTGGTGTGAGAACTGCCTAGAAGGTTATGTTCAAGACCTCGAGGGAAATTGCATCAAGAAAGGTAAAACTTCACCTAAGTGGTTGTAAATTTAATATCTAAACCTAGCAGTGAAAATTTCAGCAGTGAAAAATGGAAGGCTTTGTAAAACATTCCAACCCTACCAGAGGAGTTTCTGGAAATAGATTTTGATAGATATTTGCCTAAAGAGGTTTCCTTCCACTCCTGCTGCTCTTCTGACACTCCACAGTCAACTCCAGAAAGTTGAGGACCAAGACAAAGTCATTGCGACAGTGAGACAAAATGTTCTCACATTTTCTCTTCATCTATTTTTATTTTTATGTTAATAATTTAAGAATCCTATCATTTCTTTTATTCTTTGCTTCCTTTATTCTCTTCACTTCCAGTGATCACCAAAGGTCTTTTGAAGTAGGGACATATAATCTGGTAAGAAGTTCCAGCTGAGAAACTGGAGTTCATTCTAGCATCTATCCTAACTTTGGGCCTAAGTTTCCCCATGTACAATGGAGGAAATAATAATATTCCTTTTGATTTTTAAAAGCAAAAGTTATTCACATGGCAAAATATTTTCTTACAGGAATCTCAGTAAAGATTAATTTTTTAAATTCATGATTATAAATTCAGGATGAGTTAGGGATAATGAGGGTTTATCAAATCACAGAGAGATTGGACCATGCTGTTCTACAAACCACTCTTTCTACTCTTTGCTATTCTAACATGTTGAACACTAGGCTGATGAACAGTTGGTCTGTGGCAAGTGTCATCTTTCTGCCATTTTCTTGATATCTTTATACTGTTGTGATCAAAGCAGAAAGATTCAGATTGAACCCTATGACTAGCTAGAGATCCCACTAAATTTTCTTACCTATGTTGGAGGCACACTTTGTTCATACTTAGCTGACAGGACTGATGATTCTTCTTATTAGTTATTAGGTAATATGTATAAACTTTGCCTCTTTTTAGAATAAATTGATATGGCTTTCCATGGTGAAGAATTATAATAATAATAGTAGTAATTTTATTGAGTACCTACTATATGTGAAGCACTGTAAGCATTAAATGTGATAATGCTGTATGGCACATTATTTCATTTAATCCTTCCCAAGAACTCTGCAAAGCTGGTGTTATTATTCACATTTTGCAGATAAGGAAACTGAGCTTTAAAAAAAATTGACTTATCTATAGCCACACATTTCTATTTGATTCCAAAGCCTTTAGTTCTTCCACCAAACTATGCTGCCATTAGAAATACAAAGTATAGTACCTTAATTATAAAGTAGCTGTAATCTACACAAAGGAAGAACTCCTACACATGGAGTTAAGGAAAGCTGTTTTTTCTCTCTTGGCTAACATCAGCCTTGGACATTTAAAATTTGTTTTTCAGACATAACTAGAGGTACAGTTTTCCCTACACCTCCTTTGCAAATAATCATTTTACCTTTATGATATACCATCAGACTTGTTAGACTTATTTTTGTTCCAATGATTGCCATATATCCCTGTTACTTTTAACTATGTGATTTAGAACTCAGTAGTGACACATTTATTGCCTTTGCAGGAATTTGTTGTCATTTTATCTAAGAATAAGAATGAAAAACTCCAACACTGGTATTTTCCCAAAGATTTCTTTTTTTTTTTTTTTTTGAGATGGAGTCTTGCTCTATCACCCAGGCTTGAGTGCAGTGGCGCAATCTCAGCTCACTGCAACCTCTGCCTCCCTAGCTCAAGCAATTCTCTACCTCAGCCTCCTGAGTAGCTGGAATTACAAGCGTCTGCCACCGCACCTGGCTAATTTTTGTATTGTTAGTAGAGGTGGGATTTCACCATCTTGGCCAGGCTGGTCTTGAATTCCTGACCTCCTGATCCACCTGCCTCAGCCTTCCAAAGTCCTGGGATTGTAGGCATGAGCCACCGCGCACGGCCCAAAGATTTTAATGTAGATATTATACATATTGGAAAAGAGCCAGAGATGTAATAATCTGGCTTTCTGGACCCTGATTCTTACCCTTATCACTATATTTCTTTAAAAATTATTTTTAACTTGCATTACCTTAAAGAAAATATCATGTCAACATCCTACATCAACGTTCACTCCCATGTGTATTTCTTTTACTGTTTTTCAAAACTAGATAATTTTGTCTTTTACATTTCATTCTCTGTTTTTATTTTCAGAAGTTATTGTTCCAACACCTGAAGGTTCTACCATTTTGGTTTCCAATGCCTCTTTGACCACATCAGTGCCCATCCCTGTCATAAATAGTACTTTTACCCCTACAACCCTGCAGACTGTCCTTTCAGTAAGCACTTCTGAAAACAGCACTTCAGCTTTAGCTGATGTATCATGGACCCAATTTAACATCATCATTTTGATAGTCATCATCTCATCATTGTTGTGGTGCTGCTAATGGGATTTGTGGGGGCTGTGTATATGTACCGTGAGTACCAAAACCGGAATCTCAATGCCCCCTTTTGGACCATCGAGCTGAAAGAAGACAATATCAGTTTCAGCAGCTACCATGACAGCATTCCCAATGCAGATGTGTCGGGGTTGTTGGAAGATGATGTCAATGAAGTGGCTCCCAATGGGCAGCTGACCCTGACGACTCCCATACATAACTACAAAGCCTAGGGAGCTAGAACTGTTCTCCTGAATTGTTAAACCACAGTGCTTACTAAGACAGCATCAGCCCATGGGCCAGACAAAGGCTGGCTAGAGTTTGCTGAGAAAGCAAAGGCAAATAGTACATCTGAAATTTTCAGGTACAAATTTGTAATGTGCTTAGCCTATCTATTGCTCTTAGTTTTTCCATGAAGATCTGAAACGTTCACTGTCATTAGGACTTGAAGTAAAGTATATTTTTGTACGAAACCACATGGGAGTATGGAAAGGCTGAACACCACAGTGCAGCCCAAATCCACTTTGACCTCCAGATAGACTCCTGGGGAAGTGTTCACCAAGCCAGTGGTAACAAGATGATGGATGTGAAGGGGGAAAGGACTGCTGGAAGACTTCATCTCCATTCCTGAAACATTTTTCTTTAAAAAGCAGGGATGATATTCATTTTGCTATACAAAAGGACATCATTGAGGAAAACCTGGTTTCCAGACTGTTATCACAATAATCTTGATTGTTTCTAGAATAGGGGTAGAAAAGTCCCAAGATCTTCTGAAGGGCTTGGTTTTTCCTCCCAGGATTCTTGCTCAGTGGTGAGATAAAAGCACAGGATGAGCTTCTAATGGAGGAAGGCAGCACTGGGGAGCAGGAGGCTGATGGTCCTCCTCAGGGTCTCAGTGTAAATGATAAATTGTCTGAAAATAAGGAATATTCCTGCCTCTAGAAAAATAAGTTGTACATAGTTAATGTAGCATATCTGGTCAATGTTGTATTTGTATCTATTTGTAAAAAAAATCATGTCATATTTTATCATCTGGAATTTATTTGTACAGCAGTTAATGGTGTTGTAAAAAGAAAATATGGGGATTGCTTAAAATACTGTAAAATAGATGGCAATATTGCTAGAGCTGGGACTCTGGTGAGCATCAGTCATTTTTAGTCCCTCTTGAGGACATTGCTGAAATTTATAAGAGGTCAAATGTTTCCTTCTTTCTTTTCTCAGTCTAAAAGTAGAGTTATATGCTCTTTGACTTACTATGATTCAAGCAATAGATTTTAAAGTCAATAGTCATTAAGCTGGGATATAGGATGCATTCTCCAAAAACACTCATCTAATTAGATACTAGCCACCCTATATATTTTACATAGATTAATATAAAACATATCCTCATTAAAACATGTTTTTCCTGAATGTAAAAGATAGTCTTCCAAAGGATAGAAATATTTTAGTTCCAAGAGAAAAGCCATCATATTACTTGGGATCTGTAGTTTTTCATGCCTGTGAAATATTTATAATCCCACCCTCACTCCAAATAAAAAGTCTCCTACATGTGAACACAGCCTGTCCCTCATTTGCCATGAGGTATGTGCTGTCTCCCTGCAGTGCTATAGTTTTCCCATTGTCTTCCTGTCTGGTTAGAGGGTAGCTCTGTAGATGGGTGTGTATAGTTAGTTCTTGCTTTTGATGCAGTTTTTTCCTAGAGGCCAACTACTGTTGCTCTCGTTTATGATATTGACATTTTGGGTTAAGCAAGCTGGGTGGGAAAGGTGGTCAGATGTCAAATATAACGTATTAGGAGGAACAGTGAACTGTGAAGTGGTTAGAAAAAAAATGAAGGCTTCTTATTAGATTAGGCCTAGGAATTCCAAGCTGACCCCTTTGCCTAACTTCCCTAGAGAAAAACCTAGAACTTGGTCATCTCTTTATAGGAGACCCCTAAGTTGTTCTCAGGGTTTGGAGATGATGTTCTGGAGGATAGACATGCAAATAATCTACTTCTGGTAACCCGAGGGTGCTTTGCGTATTTGGCCATTGCTCACAAGAGTAGAGGTTACATTATGCGAAAATTATTTAGTATTTCTATAGCCCTTTGTAGTTTGCAAAGCACTTTTCCATATGTGTGTTCTCTCTTCCTCACCATAGCCCCCTGAGGAAGTAATTGCTGTCTCCATTTTATAGTCAAAAAGACTGAGGCACAAAGGAGCTAAATGTCTTGTTCAAGGCTATGTAATGTGTGTCATGATTAGGCTTGGAATCAGGACTCCTAACACTAAAGCACATGTTTTTGCAACTATATGCAGAAATTGCCTAGCCATGGACACAAGAAAGCTGGGAGGAAGAGTTCTACTTGTGGATGTTTTTAATTTTTTGTAAATGTGAGGAGCAATCCAGGTCCATACAGCTATGAAGCACTTAGTGAAAAGAACACGGGAAGATGACTATCTGAAGCTGGTATTAGTGATTAGAAAACAAAACTGACAGTTTGTGCTTCATTAAAGTGAACTCATCTCTCCAAGCAGGGAGGGAAAACTTGCTTTCCCCAGCAGTTGCTGCATATGTGAGTACAGACTCTGCACTGCACAATTCTAAGAAATTGTGCAAAATGGCATACCCGACTTTCTCCCAGATACACTGCCCCTGCCCCCCGCAAAAAAAAAAAAAAAAGGTCAGGATTAAAGGTAGCGAGAAGAGAACATTTATTAAACAGAAGTTAAACCAATAGAGAAAGGAGGTTTATTGGAGTCTAAGAGGATTTTGACCATGCAGAAATTCCTTGAAACAGACCTTAAAAGGTATTGAAAAATTGAATTACAAAGAAAGTTTACCTTATACTTGTTAATGGCTCCTAGGTCATGGTTGTAATTTTTCCCAATGGAAAAAAAAATGTCTTAAAATTTGTTTTAAATAATATCCTCTAATGTCACCAGCTTTTTGCTTCTGGAAATAATTTGCTTTAAAATGTAAATCAATTGCAAAGTGATCTACCACTGAAATCAGTCTAGGAAACTAGTATGGAATGCACTGCACAGTGTTCTTTCTTCTAAAGGCATGAGCCCTTTAAATTGTGGCATCCAGCAGCAGGATGCCATCAGTCCTTTAGAAGGCCTAACATTGGGAGAGTGTTTGTGTAAGGATTGAAAATGTGTTTATTTTTAAATAAGATAACACTCATGTGAATCTTATTTGGAAATGACAGATACTGCTTTTAAGTGATACTTTTATCTTCTTTAATTTATTTTAGTAAGCGCTTATGCATTTCTGATGGTTAGGTGCCCTAGGTGTAGTGTTAAGTATGTCCTTGTCCTCCCTTACTCCTCTTTCACTCCCTCTATGCTCTTTCCCCCCAGGGTTCTTTTATTAACAGAATTTCTCCAGTTATAGAGAAAAAAATGACATTTGAAAACTAAAGCTCATTTATATTAATACTAAGGTCCTGTGGGCCTAGTGCATTACTCTTCCCAGTGATACCTAGATTTTAAGAGTAGAGAACAGAGGAAACATGGGAAGAGAGGAGAGAGTTTTTTTAGACAAGATTTGTAGATGCCTCAAATTATATTGCTATTCTCTAGTGCCAATATTCCCAGGTAAATTGACCATTAAAGCAATACTCATTAAAGCAATGGTCAGCTGAGTGCCATCAGGATGTTTAGCCCGTTAAGTGCTGTTTTGGAAGCAGAGAACTAAAGCAACAATACTTCCTCTTGACAGCTTTGATTGGAATGGGGTTATTAGATCATTCACCTTGGTCCTATACTTTTCAGGGCACTTGGTGAATATTACACCACGTATAATGAACATCCTGGTTCCTATATTTTGGGCTATGTGGATAGGAGTTGAATTTCCACATCTCAAGGCAAGCTCTCTAACAAAAAGTTCAGAGAAGTAAAAAGTAGCCCCGTGTAACCTATTATAGCAAGTAAAGCATTTCTGGCTTCATCCAAAAAGAACCTTTGGTCTGTTACAGTCTTCTTGATAGGAAGGAGTTTGGGAGCTAAAATGAATCTGGTGTGTGTGGAGGAGTAAGGGAAGGTTAGTGCATTTTTCTGTTTAACCCTGAGCGAGTGCCTATGCCAAGGGGAAAGGCAGGAAGTATACACTGATACATCAGAAGAAGTCAAATAATATCAAACGGACTAAAGGTTATGGATCGTTAAAATGTCAGTGGTTGAATGATGTTTGTTCAAAGGCAATTTGGGAATCTTTGTTGTTACTTTTGCATATGCAATAACTGCAGCAGCAGCCCTAGAAAGTGAGGCCAGGGCTTCAGATCTAAGTCAGTCCAAAAGCTAAATGATTTAAAGTCAAGTTTTAATTCTAGGCACAAGCACTCTATAATACATTAAATTAGAGCCTGAGCAATTAGGGAATGTTACTGAAACATTAAACTTGTATTTATGTCACTAAAATCCTAACACAAATTTTAAAAACGTGTCTGATACATATGCTGTACTAGGCTTCATCATGCATTTCTAAATTTGTGTATGATTTGAATATATGAAAGAATTTATACAAGAGTGTTATTTAAAATTATTAAAAATAAATGTATATAATTTGTACCTATTGTAGATTTGTTGCTTTACTTTTTTATATGGTCAGAGTTGTCTGATGTCTTCATATATATGCCAAGGATCATTTATTTTCAGCCCACTTCATAAAAATCTTTGAACCCTTCATTTATTGGCCATACATTTTGTTTAAGTTTATTTAAAGAATGTCTTCTACTTGGGGGAAAATAATCCATGAACAAGACTCCCTCTCTTAAAGGAAAACAAAGCAAAACCTGAGAAGAAAATTTATTAACATGTATTTTTGTTTGTGCTTTTGCCTGTTTCCTCTAGATACATCAGGAGTTCCATGAAAAGTTTATAGAGAAAACTTGCTCACTTTGGATTTCTTTGTCACACATATAAATAATTTTCTTTCTTTGGTGGAAATCTGAAGAGAAACCATATCCTGTGTGTTTATTAGGCAACTTATAATGAGAGTACATTTTTTTTTTTTTTGAGATGGAGTCTCACTCTGTTGCCCAGGTTGGAGTGCGGTGAGATTTTGGCTTATTGCAACCTCCACCTCCTGAGTTCAAGTGATTCTTCTAACTCAGCCTCCCGAGTAGCTGGGACTACAGGCGTGTGCCACCACACCTGGCTAATTTTTCTATTTTTAGTAGAAACGGGGTTTCACCATATTGGCCAGGCTGCTCTTGAACTCCTAACCTCATGATCCACCCCCCTCAGCCTCCCAAAGTGCTAGGATTACAGGCATGAGCCACCACACCCAGCTGAGAGTACATCTTTTTAATATTTTAAGCTACTCTTGAAGAACTTGTATTTTGACAAAGGTAGATGGTGTTTAGTGGGATGCGATCTGAGAAATTCCTTTGTTTGAAAAAAAGAAAAAAACAAGTCAGGCATTTCTTTGTGCTAGAGCTTTATAAACTTAAATTGTTTTATTCAACTTCAGTTGGTTGACATTTAAATGTTTAAACCCTATTTTAAAATTTATTTTCTAGTTACACAAGAAAACAGGTTTTATTATTTTACGATAACACCTTATGTTTATACATGTGGTTCTGTGATGTATATGAATTGGGTATTAAGGGAAAAGAATAAGCATGGCAGAAATCTAAACAAATTACAGTTTCTTTTTTTTTTTTGAGATGGAGTCTGGCTCTGTTGCCCAGGCTGGAGTGTAGTGCGGTGATTTTGGCTCACTGCAATCTCCGCCTCCTGGGTTCAAGCAATTCTTCTGCCTCAGCCTCCTGAGTAGCTGTGATTACAGGAGCACACCACCACACCTGGCTAATTTTTTGTATTTTAGTAGAGACAGGGTTTCACTATGCCAAGGCTGGTTGTGTACTCCTGAGCTCAGGCAATACGCCTGCCTCAGCCTCCCAAAGTGCTCGGATTACAGGCGTGAGCTACCGTGCCCAGCCGAACAAATTACAGTTTCAAGAGAAAGTAAATCTATATACAAACAAGTAAAGAGATTTGCTAGATTGCATTATTAAAACTAGTTGTATTCATTTTCTATAGGAGTATAAGACACCTATGTTTAAAAAAATTTCACATGCTCCATTATAATTAAGTCAGTAATTCAAAGTAACAATGTGCTTACTTATATTTTAAAAGTTAAGCTGAATTAAAACAAAATGTTTTTCATGAGGTGATAGCATTAGGAGTGTTTTTTTTTTTTTTTTTTTTTTTTTTGGACGGAGTTTCGCTCTTGTTACCCAGGCTGGAGTGCAATGGCGCGATCTCGGCTCACCGCAACCTCCGCCTCCTGGGTTCAGGCAATTCTCCTGCCTCAGCCTCCTGAGTAGCTGGGACCACAGGCACGCACCACCATGCCCAGCTAATTTTTTGTATTTTTAGTAGAGACGGGTTTTCACCGTGTTGACCAGGATGGTCTCGATCTCTTGACCTCGTGATCCACCCGCCTCGGCCTCTCAAAGTGCTGGGATTACAGGCTTGAGCCACCGCACCCGGCCAGCATTAGGAGTGTTAATTGACAGACTGAAAAATCAATATTCTAAATCAATGTTAAAATTGTAGTTTTATCTATAAGTTAGTCTTTCAAGGCAATTTTACGAAGGAATTATTGTAGTAATTGTACAGGCTTTCTAGTACTTCTATGTACAAAATGAAAGCCATCAGACAATGTTAAATTTAAAATGTGCTGCTTGTTTGTATTAATAATAAGATTTTAAACCTTGTCTGTTGAATGGAACGCTGCACTTCAAACAACTGCAAAAGAAGACAGCCAAAACGTTTTCTTTGTATGTAATAAGAGTAGGTTTCGGTAATAAAGGAAGTGTTTGGGAGGAAATCTTCTTCTGTGGTTTCCTTTGTGTTGTCAGACAAACTGCTAAAATTGTATATGTCAGTATTGGTTCTTTAATCTTTGACTCAAAGAAGGAAAAGTCTCAGCTCTTTCCCACGTTAATTACAATTCCAATTCAACTATGTTAAACTCATACAATTTCCTACATATGCCAGGTTATATGATGTCTTCCTTTTGCTGATACGGCTTCCCCTACCTATAATACCCTTGAGAACGCTTATTCATTCTTTGCAAACCTCTGATAAAGGAAAGTTGATCAATTCTTAATTTGCCTGATGAATACTTCTACTACTGCACATATTTTATTATAAATACTTGTTCCTGCTTTCCCCAGTAGACTCTGTATTCCTTGAAATCAGGAGCATGTATTCTTCTGCCTGTAGCATCTGGCATGTTGCTTGTACATTATGGGTGCTCAGTAAGTGGTGGTTTATGTACAAAATGTACTTGACAATACAAGAGTTGGTATGTGAACTTACTGAAGTTTGGTTAGAAAACTTCTATTCAGTGGATAGGATAATATTTCTTATTCGAGAGGTGTCAATTTATATGGGCTTCAGAGGTTCGGAGAAACCCTTGAAATTTTAATGCTGTTTGTTTATTGATGCAATTGTTTTTTTTGTTTTTTTTTTCTGGAGAGAAGACCCATACTTTAATCATCATCTCAAAAGGATCCATGATTGTTGGGGCGTGGTGGCTCACGCCTATAATCCCAGCACTTTGGGAGGTCAAGGCGGGCAGATCATCTGAGGTCAGGAGTTTGAGACCAGCCTGACCAACATGGTGCAACCCCATCTCTACTAAAATACAAAATGTACCCAGGCATGGTGGTGTCCACCTGTAATCCCAGTTACTCGGCGGGGGGGGGGGCTGAGGCAGGAGAATTGCTTGAACCTGGGAGGCACAGGTTGCAGTGACCTGAGATCACACCACTGCATTCCAGCCTGGGCAACAGAGTGAGACTCTGTCACACACACACACACACACACACACACACACACACACACACACAAAAGGTATACTTGATTACCAACTGGGGTTTATCACATAAATGTAAATTTAGTATAACATTTAAAGATCAATTAATGTAATTCTCAAAGGCTGAGAAAGAAAAATGATGATTATCTCAACAGCTGTATAATAAGCATTTGACAAAATTCAATATTCATTCATGATAAAAATGATGATGATACTATCTTGTGATATTGTGATATAATAAGAAATATAGGCCAGGCACAGAGGCTCACACCTGTAATCCCACCACTTTGGGAGGCTGAGGTGGGCAGATCACTTGTGGCTCAGAGTTTGAGACTGTCATGGCCCAACATGGTGAAACCCTGTCTCTACTAAAATACCAAAGACAAATGGCCTGGCATGGTGGTGCACGCCTACAATCCCAGTTACTCAGGAGGCTGAAGCAGGAGAACCATTTGAACCTAGGATATGGAGGCTACAGTGAGCTGAGATTGCACCACTGCTCTCTAGCCTAGGCGACAGAGCAAGACCCTATCTCAAAAAAAAAAAAAAAAAAAGGAAATATATATATATATTTTAGTCTTTGTCTAGCTCCTAGCCAGGGCTCTTAAACTCTTGTACAAGTTTCTAAACAATAAGAGCTGTAGTAGCATCTTATGTTATATTTCGTTTTTGTCACTGGCTCTTGTAATAGGTCCAGGGTGATAAAGGTGAAAGGAACACCTTTTGTTATTTATAAGAAGCCCCTGTTGACCACACCTGAGGTAATGAAGTGACTTTGGAAAAGCCCTTAAAGATGAGGGTGCTGATTGCCAGAGGAATCAACTGTATGTTTGGAGGATTGAAACGTTTAGCCCAGGAGGTTTTTTTGTTTTGTGACAGAGTCTCACTCTGTTGCCCAGGCAGGAGTGCAATGGTGTGACCTCGGCTCACTGCTGCCTTGACCTCCCCAGGCACAAGTGTTTCTCCCACCTCAGCTTCTTGAGTAGCTGGGACTACAAGTGCATACCAGTACACCCAAATAATTTCAGTTTTTTTAGAGACAGTGTATTGCTATGCTGCCAGGGCTGGTCTTGAACTCCTGAGCTCAGGCAATCCTCCTGCCTTGACCTCCCAAAGTGCTGAAATTATAGGCATGAGCCACTGTGCCCGGTAAGGCTAGCAGGTCCAGGCTGTAATGAGTCATGATCTTGCCACTGCACTCCAGACTGGGCAACAGAGCGAGGCTCGCTCTCTCTCTCTCTCTCTCTCTCTCTCACACACACACACACACACACACACACACACACCGCTAATTAAATGTTAGTAAATGAATAAGTGAATCAGGCCATACCACAGTTTCTGCACTCGTAAGTACAATAAAGGTGTGTAAGTATACTGCAATCTGTAGGCTTTGAATTTGTTATAAGTAGAATTGTCAATGCTGCAAAAGAAGTAGTGCTCTAATATATATTTCCTCAGCAAGGCAATTTACTTCTATAGAAGGACGCGGCTCACAAGTGGAACAACAGTGAGTGTATACCTGGACAAGGAGGGAAGGGGTACTTATGCCCTGATGGAGGTCACCCCTACTGCTGTGTCGTTCCCCTATTGGCTAGGGTTATACCGCACAGTCTAGACTAATTTCTTTTTTTTGAGACGGAGTTTCACTCTTGTTACCCAGGCTGGAGTGCAATGGCGCAATCTCGGCTCACCGCAACCTCCATCTCCTGGGTTCAGGCAATTCTCTTGCCTCAGCCTCCTGAGTAGC